TCAGGATAAAATCAGAACTCTTCTCCGGCATTCGATTGCGCAGTGTATCTTCGGAGCAGAAGCGTAAATGAAGGCTTCGTGCAGCGTTTACTGCTTCAAACTTCTCTCTGAATCAACCCATCTTTTGACCTATTTTATTTTTCGAGCTCCTGTAAAGCCACTCCGTTTGTGTCCTTGCAGCTAGCATCTGTGCTGTAGTCAGGAGGGATGTCATTCACTAGGCCATGGTGTCCCGTTGGCCCTATTGCCTCGCAACTGGAGATATTTTGTTCGAAGTGAGGCACGGAGCTGGACGGCAGTAGATGATGACTGACGAGCGTTTACTCAACTTCCTAGAGGCGCAGCCGATTGCTACCAGTCATAGGTTAACAACCACACGCTTAGATGCATTCATTCGACAATTGTCGAGGATCTGCACGATCTCGGTTACAGATCAGTATGTTCGCCATTGACACCACATGGGTTGCGCCAGTCTGGGGAGGCGAACCGTGTGACCATGATTCAGATTTCTCTTCTTCTTTCGCATCAAAGGAATCTCTTGACAAAAATGATGGCTAATGAAGATAGCTCTGGCCTTGACTAAACTATACACATAAGCACTACTGGATTCGACAAGGAGGAAAGCTGCCCGCAGGAACAAAAGCAGGCCTTCGTCAAGAAGGACTTTTTAGTGTTTCTGATGAGGTTGCAAACTGATTCGCTACAGAAAGCTGCTGGATACCTGCACCAGGTGACGACCATTGTCGGCTTTAACTAACCTTCGAAATTTGGCCGAAGCCATGCGTCAAATCACGCAGAAATTCTCGATACGGTGTTACCCCACCTAACCCATATCTGTATGTGGCGAAGGATTACATATGAAGAGATCGTGGATTTTGATCGGGAAATTCTGCAGTGCTTGGCTTACTCGCCCGACTTAGTCGTTTCTAAATATTGCGTAATTAGTACACTGAAGCGCTACCTCGAAGAGAAAAAATCCAATGATTGAGGTCACCTCGAAAATTGGATGAAGCGCTTCTTTTCAAAGCAAACGCCGGATTTCTAAAGTAAGAGAGGTTGAGAAGTTGCCCAGAAAAAGTACACGTCTCCTACGTGCTACCGGTGATAACCTTGCTGATTGAATATCCCATTCAACAAAAAAAGGTGCAATCAAAAATTTTGGACAAAGTGTCGCAGGATTTTCTGGACAACCCAATATACTCCCGCTCCTTCGACCCCACACCTTATCGTGGAATTCGCTGCCGAATTTCGAACGGACCGACATCTAAAAAGTGAGACCAAATTATGTTAGTGCGCGTGCGGTTATATCCCCTTTTTTAGAGCTTCCTTCACTTTTATTACCTTTTCTTCTCAAGAATAGCGAAACCACCACATCACGAAATTTCAGTCCTTACGCTGGATCCACAAGGAGCTCTTTCACGCTACATCGATCGCTACAGTTCAACGTAACCGAGACTTCAAGGACGAGTAGCTTCAGTAATGAAAGACAGCTAGCGGTTTCACCGAAATACTCGGCAGTTCCTTGAATTTATATGTCATTTTCTAACACCAGCAAAAATAACAAATTTCGTGGTTCTTCCTTAGCTCCAATCAGACGCGATTTTTACCAAATAAGGGACCGCCATAGGTGCCACTTCAAAATAATGGCAATTCTTTATGTTCAGTTTATATTGAAGTCGCGGTGAATCGATTTATTAAGCATTGTTAATAAATATAAACTACCAGAGCATAATCGCAATAAGCTACGGCACAAAATCAAGATCCACATTTCCGCCACAGAGTAGCAGCACCGCTTTGTTGATACCGAGCTCGGACGGAGAGATTTTCAGAAGTCCTGCCAGTGGCACTGCTGCAGATGGCTCGACACGCTGCTGCAAAAGCCCAACGTGACCATCAGCTAACGTACTGGCAAGGCTACTGCGCCGTAATGTGTATCTCTCACCTTAGTTCGTGTCCAAATTAGCTTAAGAGCGGCTCGGATTTCGTCGTCATTCTGAACATGGCTCACTTCTCATGATCAACAATATTAGATTAAGCTACTACCATTGAAAAGAGAATCTAATCGATTATGGAAGAGGCTTGTGAACTGGTTCTCAGCAGTGTCTTGCACGGTGACTGCTATCTTTCCACACTTCTCTGACTTGTGCTACTTCTATCCACGGCTAATTTGCAGATTGCGCAGTAAAACCTAGACCGTGCTTGTGACCAACACTGCTCACTCAGCCTGCAGGGCGTGATAGCTCACGTCAAGGCCACCTTTCATGCCTTCTCTCCCTTCTCATATGAACCTTTCTAGGTTGAAACTAGTAGATCACATTCTGATACCTCAAAGTCCAGGATCAAATTGATGTGGTGGTCCACTCAAACATGAAAGAAGGGAATCTACTGGAAGTGGAGAAAAAAAGGAAGAAATTCGTCAAAAACAGTAAATGTGAGCCTTCCTGTTTATGTACTGCGAATGGTTCAATCTCCCGAGGCGACTAAATTTTGCATTTGGGTTGGCGCCTACGGGTTGGTGCCAAATCGCGCTAAATGTCAAAATCAGATGTCATATTCATCGTCAGGACCATTTTGAAGCCAACAAGTGGCCGCCAACCTTGATTGCAAAATTTAGTCGCCGCGGGGGATCGAACCATTAACAGTACTTTTTTGGTACTACTAAAACCGTTCAGCGAAAACGAAACATGGTTTTGTGGTCCATACATGCGTCCCTACAATATGCAAGAAACCGTTTTGAAAAAGCGCGGCTTGCCCTGAAAGACCTCCCTTGTAAGGGGCAGGCAGGGAGATGAGAGATATGTAATGTGAGCTGCAGAGAAGTTCAAGAATCCTGAGTAGAGAAAGCACAGTGGATCAACACGGCGTCGCAGAGAGATCTAACGGTGGGCGGATCCTGATACCTTTGGTGGGATTTGATCAAAGTCCTCAGCGCCTGGCGTCCTAATAGACGCGTTTCAATGTGCGAAAGTGGCGCGTTCACAGTGACGGATCACACACCCCTATCCACTGGAGCGATTACTTCATTAGGGCTGGGCCTAGAACTTTCAATGCCATGTGGAGCAAGGGCCGCCTATGAGTTATACCAAATACATATAAGAAGACACATTTATGACAAGCTACGAGTCTGTTTCGCTTGGAAACGAACGTAATGGAATTGGACTGCTAGCGGATAGAAAAGGAAAAGAAGCCAAAAATGAAGAGAATCGGCTTTTGTGGGGTGGACAGTGCTCCGAAGAGAATACACAAGATGCTGAGAAGGGAGAACAGAAGAGAGAGCGCAGTGACGGCAAGATGCAAATTACCTACGCGCTGGGAAGCTCATCTTCGACGTGCCATCCAGCATCAGCCTGAGATTTGCTAACGTTCGACTTCTTCATCACTTTATAACCACCCATGACAGTAACCACTTCTTGAACACATTAAACTCGGAGAAGTTTCTGGGGCACCGTGTATGCAGAGCTATAGCCGAACTGATGCTTTACAAGCAAAACTCCACCAAAACAAGCACCTTATCATCGTTAGGAGATATGCTCATCTTCAGTCTGGTCTCTCACTCTATCAGAGCTTTGCAGCTACAAAAACAAAACAGTGATCAAATTTTTGAGGCGATGCGTCAATCACTGCGCTCGTTGATTTATCTTGTTGAATGCAATGTCCTCCGTAACTGGACAGTAGTCAGAGGGTAATGGCGACGGATTCAAGCTCTGGAATCCCGAAAATAATCTTCCTAGTGAACTGTAGTCATTAGTTGTAGCACATAATGAGTCCCAGAATACGAAGAGGGACTCTGAACGTGGGAGGATCGCTAACTGGGAAGTCCCGAGAGGTTGCTGATCTGATGACGCGCAGGAATATCCAAGTCCTATGCCTTCAGGAGACGCGATGGAAAGGTGCTAAGGCCAGGGAAATCGGGGAAGGTGTCAAACTCTACTACAATGGAGAAGACACCAAGCGGAACGGTGTGGCCATAGCGGTAGCGGAGTCGCTCAAGGACTATGTCTCCGCTGTGAACAGGATCAGCGATCGGATCATGGCTGTGAGGATAGACACGAAGGGTACTGGACAATACTCTCCGTGTACGCGCCGCAGACAGGATGCCCCGACAGTGAGAAAGACGAGTTCTACCTGAGCCTGGACGAAGCCATAAGAACGATTCCGGAAGGCGATTACCTGACCGTAGCAGGTGATCTGAATGGCCACGTCGGCAGTGACAGGAGAGGCCGGGAAAGGGTGCACGGAGGTAGAGGGATAGGAGTGAGGAACGCCGAGGGAGAGAGGGTCCTGGACTTGGCTACGGCCCACCATGTGCTCGTAAGAAGATCATCCCTGAATCGGTGAAGGACATCAAGGTACTCCCTGGCGAAGGAATTGGCTCCGCAGCACAGGCCCCTCCTGGCAGACATTGCCATGGACCTCCCAAGAAGACAAGGGTAAGAACCGAGAGGAGAATCCGGTGGTGGAAGTTGCACCAAGCGGAGAAGATGACCTCAAACGAAGGATAATGGAAGTTGGTCTCCCAAATCCTAACGGGCCAATACAGCGGACTTGGAGCAACGCGGCTGAGACCATCCTGCGATGTGCCAAGGAGGTACTGGGCGAGACGCGAGGTGGATTCAGAGGAGACAAGGCAGCGTGGTTCTGGAACGAGGAGGTCCAGCGAGTCGTGAAGCAGAAGAAGGAAGCATACAAGCGCTGGCAGAAGACCCGGAGCCCCGAAGACCTCGCTACCTACAGGAGTTGCAAGAGGCTCGCTAAGGCTGCCGTCGCCAAGGCGAAGAACACGGAGAATGGACGCCTTGTACGAGAAGTTGGAAAGCAGAAACGCAGAGAAGTTCGTCTTCAGACTGGCCAAAGCCCGGCATCGGGCTACCCAAGACATTAGGGTGGTGAAGAGCGTGAAGAGCAGTAACGGTGCCATCCTGAGGAAGCCAACTGAAGTCAGGAGGAGGTGGGAGGAGTACTACAAAGCGCTCCTGAACGAGGAGTTCCCCCACAAAGACAGCTCGCAAGCAGAGGCAACGTCTGGCCCCATCGCACTGTGGACAGAGGATGAGGTTAGTCGAGAAGTAGCAAAAATGAAGGTTGGGAAGGCGGTTGGTCCAGATGGGGTGCCAATTGAGGCATGGAAGGCGCTGGGTGACTATCATCAAGCAGAGGGGACGCTGGTGAACTGGCTCACTCCACAATGCAACCGCGGTATCAAGCTGACAGTGCATACATGAAAGCGTTGGTCAACTCGAAATTGCGGGAGCTGGTCCCGATCTCCCAGGAACAGTTCGGGTTCATGCCCGAAAGGTCTACAACGGATGCCATCTTCATCGCAAGGCAAGTGATGGAGAAGTATCGAGAAAAGCGCCGACCCTGCTACCTAGCCTTCCTCGACCTGGAGAAGGCGTTCGACCGGCTACCACGAGCGGTACTGTGGAGAGCGCTTAGGGAACGGAACGTGCCAGAACACCTGGTCTCGCTGGTGAAGGACATGTACGATGGGGCGAAGGCAGCTATACGCACCCCACACGGCCTAACGAAGGAAGTGGACATCACGGTTGGGGTGCACCAAGGGTCAGCTCTGAGCCCGTTCCTCTTCCTCCTGACACTAGATGTCCTGGTGAAGGGGCTCATGGAAGGACCGCTAAAGACCATCCTCTACGCAGACGACATCGCCCTGATAGCGGATAGTAGAGAGGAACTACAGGCCAAGGTGCAGCAATGGCAGAAGGTCCTGGCAGAAGGCGGACTACGGCTGAATGTCAAGAAGACCAAGTTCCTGAGTTCTGAAGAGGGTGCAGAGCCGATCATGGACGGGCATGGTGAAAGCATCGAAAGAGTAGAGGACTTCCGATACCTTGGGAGTGATCTGGCGGCCGACGGCAGTGTGGACCAGGCAGTAAAGGGGAGGATCAACGCGGCATGGATGAAATGGAGGGAGTCCACTGGAATCCTCTGCGACCGAAGGTGCTCCAGAGCGCTCAAAGGGAAGGTGTACCGAACAGTGGTAAGGCCTGCGATGCTCTACGGCAGCGAGTGCTGGCCCCTGAACAAGAATCACGAAAGGCAGCTTCACTCCGCTGAGATGAGGATGCTGAGGTGGGCCTGCGGCTGGACGCGACTGGATAGGGTCAGGAACGAGGATGTCAGAGCGGTCATGCAGACTGCCCCTGTCCAGCTGAAGGTGAGGGAGCAACGACTGCGGTGGTATGGACATGTGCTGAGAAGACCGCAAGGCCACCCGATAAGGAATGCGATGGACTTCGAAGTGCAAGGCAAGCGACCGCGAGGAGCCCCAAAGAAGAGGTGGAAGGATGTGATCAAGAAGGACCTAGGTGAAATCACGGCCACTGCAGGAGATGCCCTAGACAGAGCGAAGTGGCGACGACTGACAAAGACAGCGGACCCTGCGACTGCGCGGGACTAACGCTAAGGAGAAGAAGAAGAAGAGAAGGCATTCAAACATGGGATGTGCTTTCGGATGTGTACTACTCATTCAATCCACATTGCTTGACTAAAAGCTCGAGCAGGATCACGTTGTACGAGTCACTCCCTCCTATAGTTTGAGGAAGAGGGGCGCATAGCGCAATAGGCGCGACACTGTTGCGAAAAAGTGTGAGGTAACGGCGCTAAGGTCTGTGTGTGCTGCCGTGCTGCTATTCTTATCAGTCACGGCATATGTGGCGTCTGCGCGCTCTCTCGTGTTTTCCTCTTCCTCGCCATCCGCTTTTTGCCCGTCGTGACACGGCGACAACAATGGAGAATAGAAATTCCAGGTTTTCTGTTGCTGTGTTGCTCTTCTTCACACCAGTGCTCCCATGCTCTTGTACATTTTTCAACCAAAAACACATTAATCGATCCCGACCGTGCCTTTAAGGTTGCAAGGTCTTCATGAAGTGCGAACATCTGCAGAAAACAGGCAGCTTCAAAGCGTGGAGCGCTAAACACGGTACAGAAGATGATGGACGAAGGACCGGTGAAGGGAGTGGTTCGTTTCTATTGTTTTCGCTTTTGTACTTGTGGCACATCTACTATTTAGTATACCAGTTTAGCTCCGCACGCAACCGCGCGCATCACATTGAGGGCTTCAGTGAAACTGGACAACTTGTAGAATATTAGGTCACGTGGCTGAGAAACTAATGTAAGATATTTGGAAGGTGTTTCCCATGAAGTTCAAAGGTTGTCCAATTTCGCTGGAGGTTGTCGCGTAATGCGCGCAGTAGCCTGCGGAATGAAAATAGTACTTATCATGAATTCGTAAAACATCCAGCATAGATATCGAGCTCGGATGATTTAGCGGTCTATTGAATTTCCACAACTGAAGAATCTTTATTAAGTGAAATATAATCAATCAATCAGGATCCAATCGAGCTATGATGGAAATTGCAAATATAATGGAAATTCGCTGTTAGTCCAAGTGCAGATAGTTGAGCAGCTCAACTTTCTTTGCTTCTTTGGATGAAAGGATAGGAATGGAACATATTCACGTGCTAGGGACCTGGTTTAGTTCAGCTGAGTGCACGCTCAATTTCGCTACTTTTATCAGTACAGTTGCCGCTCATACCACTTTCTGTCGCCTAATTTCAACCTCGCCACCTTAATCGCTTGCCAGTGATAATTATAACAAAGTTGGAGAGACCTGCATTCAGACGCTCATATCATTCCTGGTCATTTGTTATCAGTTCATACTGCTCGCAATCGGTGTCCCCATCCCACCCTCCAGGCAACGTGCAGGAGCTCGTGATTTATTGTCAACACGAAGGCTACAACGAAATTAGCGGTACTCAAAATCCTAACTTCTTTATCAACCGTTATCGCTTGTTATCACTTCTGATCATCCACTATCCGTGTTCCCGTCCCATCCGATACCAAGGTTCCAATGTAACCGCGCGAGGGCCGCAACGAAACTGGTGGTATCCACACTTTGACGCCCCTTATCAGTTCTTATCAGTTGCTACCACATTCGTTCACTCAACTTCTTGGTCCCCGCCTCACCCCACATATCATGCATGAGTGCAAACTGTCCACCGTCAACGCAAACGGCGTAACGAAATTGATGACATCATCATTTCGGCGTCCGTTATCAGTTCCTATCAGTAGTTATCACTTCCCGCCACCCATCAGGCAGAGTGGTTGGGTCCCAGCGCACCGGCATATATCTAGATTGGGCTGCGTCTGGGTCCAAAGGGAGGGAAGTATGAATTTCCGGTCAGCACACACAGGCAGACCGCTTTAGCGATTATTATGTATGTAGTAGGATGATAGGTTCACATCTGCTTTGTGGCTTCCTCGTTTATGTGCCCATAGGTCTTGGAGAGGTTTTACGAGGTACAGCGGGTTGAGGAAGAGAGTGAAGCTTTTTCGCCATCCACGAGCTTTTGATGTGAATCAGTAGTGTCTTGCGATGCTTTCATGGTCGTTTGATTGAGCAAGTTGTGCCTGACGTGTGGAGGTCGCGCACGTAGCGATGGCAAAGTCAGTGGTGCGAAGGGTCTGGCGGTGGCGCCTTCTGAGTTGGGCGCTGCCGTGTTGCGTAGGCTGATTCACGAAGTGGCTCCTCTTCGAAAATTGAAGCGGATGAGGGGTGTATGGGCTCGGTTGGGAGCTTTTTGTTGTGAAGCGACTGATGCGGAGGCAGGGTGCTGGTTTGATTTCTTTGTCGTCGAGTTACGGAGAGTGGCGAGTTGGCGGTAAACTGCGTACATGGTTGATGAAGGTAGGGCTGCTTCACAGGGTGAGACCCAGGGATGACGACGGGGATGACTAGCACGGTCGGGGGTTGGTAGGTTAGCCATGGTTGATTTAATATTAGGTACCGGATATCTTAGTGTCGTTTTTTCACCGCGAGTTTCGGACCACCAATATTTTAATTCAAAATCCAGTGAGTGAAACGGCATATCCATCGAATGACTCATTAGCCCTTTCCCATTTACCAGTATGAGTGAAAACCTCGTACGATTAAAGTTAGGAATTTTTTGAGACGAAAAAGAGAGGTAGGTCGAATTTGACATCATCTGACAAATCATCCCTCTACCTTGCTAAACAGTTGGGCCTGGACAAAATATGTATACATTTAGTTAGAGTAGGGTCTGCACTGTTTGGTGGAAAATTTATTACTTACCAGCTCAACTGGACAATTTTTCCCGGAGTCTTTTTTGCCACATGGGGTCAAAAACGCACCCTTTTTGAGCACACGTGAGTAGCAGATGAGCACATTTATTAGAATTTCTTGGTCAATCAACTTCGTTAGAGCGTCTGTGCACCATCGATCAGTAACTGCTAGGGTGTCCTACCATTCCAGCACAAGACTGGTGCAGCCCCGTTTTGACTGATTTAGCTAGGACCACCTTTTTGGCGACGGTTGCGGGCATCCCTTCAAAGACTTTACTGTCTTTTAAGAAAACTGTGAAAAACCGATGAGCATTTTAAATGGTAGTATTCCCTCCATCAAATGCAATGCTGGTTTGGTGGGCGGAGGTTACAGCTCTCAGCAAGAATTTTGATGCATTTGGTACACACATGCGAATTTGCACACTGGACCCAGGAATTTTCAGAAGAAAGTATAAAAATTGGGGGAAAGTTAAATTGTGAACCAACAATAGAAGACGGTAAGCAACATATTTCGCAGTATTAATGAGCAAAAACTGCCTTCTGGGATATTGATTTTCCATAGTAATCGGCCCCAAAACTTCCTGAACTCAGAAAAGCGACACTAAGATATCCGGTACCTAATATAATTTCTTTTTCTTATGTATATGCCTAGAAGCAAAAAAAAATGTTAAAAGTTTGGACAAATATATTTTTGTATTTGGAACTGTTGGAACAGAACTACTCCTTTTACTAGAACTGTTGTGATTCTTCGAGAGAGTACTGTAGCATGTTCATCAAAACGCCGATCAGATTTCAGAGAAGAGACGTGCGCTCGTCTGTCCAAAGAGCTCAACTACCGGGTCGTCGAACCATTTGATGATCCAAATGTGATTTGTGGACAAGTAAGTATGGGTGAATTGCCAGTAATGTTGCGCATCTCACAGATAAAAACCAGTGATTGCGATGGCTGGAGGGCGATGCGGTCTTTGATGACATTGTTGGATGTCACTGGTAGATAAGGCCACTCAGCGCGCTGGAAGAGTGCAGTTGGAACTCCTTTTAACGCCCTTCCACTATCGATATTCAACGACATCAAATACGCAAAACTCTTCAGCATCGTTGGGTCACGCTTAGAGGGGAGTTAACTTATGAAACTGCAGGACGTCAGAAAAGTAGTTAAAGTAAAGGAGTCAAAGAGGGTGCAGGGAGGGAAGAAAATGCCATGATGAAGCGATGCGAAACCGAGAAATGGCCCCCTTCTTTGCCCGTTGTTTTTCGCAGAGCGCAGCACCGATCAGAGTCGCATCAAGATGCTGCTCTCATCGGTCTCATCGTTGCTGCGCTCTTCAAATCCAACGCTCTCTCTCTCTTATGCCAAATGGCAGATGGTCAGGTTAGCGAGAAGTTGGGCCGGGCCGCGGCAGCTTTGCGGGTATGGCTGCACTAGCGCTGGGGCGTACTTTTCCTCCAAACGTGCATGGCGTTCCCGTGCCCTTAAACACACCGCCGCCCCTGCTTTCCGAAATGATTTTCTGCTGCTTCTGCCTCGACCTTATCGTGGAATCCTTCAAAATGAGAAGTGCTTATCACAAGCTACGAAAGACCTGTTTCTGGCACGATGTTGACCATTGCGGGTTCTCAGTTTTGTCGGCTGCTGTGATATCCTTGTATAGTTTACCATAATGGTTCCCAAGCGTTACCTTTGATACGCACCCTTCACGTGAAAGACGGTGGTGGTTACCAGGGTACTATTGGAGCCGAAATCGTCGAACAAGTTCCGGATGCTGATGCAATCTTCCTTGCTGTTGGCGGTGGAGGAATGGCAAGTGGTGTGACGGCGTATGTTGCTGAAGTGCGACCAGATATCAGAGGTTAGCCATATTGACAAAGTCTGACCCATAGATCCTGAGTGTGCAGAGGTGGCGTTTCAGTGTTCCTCGTCGAGCCGGTAGGGAAAGACCTCGGCATCTACCTGGCCAAGGGTGAAATCACAACCGAGAGAGATGTGGTTGACACTATAGCTGATGGAATCCGAGTGCTCAAAGTAGGAGAAAATTGCTACCCGATTCTGAAGAAATCCTGTGCTGACAAAATCATTACCGTGGTTAGTTTTGCTGGGTCTTCGTTCTTTTTCAATACGCTCTCATTTTAATCACTTATTGTAGTTAGCTCGAGATCTTTTCAGCTTCAAAATTTTGAAAGTGTCTTCCCTCGTGATAGGAATAAAGAAAGACTTCCGATACGTCTTTTTTCGATGAGAACTATACCTTCTACGAACATTCCCACTTATGGTCATTAGTAGAGAATGCTCTTCAGAATTGTATCAGACGTGGTTTTTCTTTAAACCCACTGTGTAGTGCGCTCTGCAGGAAGGTCCCACAGTAGCTGGCTTCTGTGCTGAAAAAAATGTGGCAGCCTTTGTGTTGGATGCTCCTAAAAACCGCTCTCGAAGGCGTCATTGAAGATCTCTGGAAGGAAAGTTGCTCTTC